TCCTGCAAGATGACCTTTGGTCATAAGAAGGCAGGCTAGAGCGTGACCTGGAAGCGCTTTGTCCGCATATCCTGGGAACACAAACAGTGACGGTGCTAAGGCACACAGGAACAGCTGCAAGGCAGCCGTCTTGTGTGCTCTGGCCTGCTTTGTCACCTTTTTGTCATTTCTCTGGAGAAGGAAAGAAATGGGAATGAAGGACGAATCTCGTCAACTGATCATCTAAGACACTGAACTACCTTCCTCACCTTTAAGGTCCTACATTAACTCTGAGAAAAAGTATCTCTTATACCTTTACAGAGCAATTCATTCCATCTACTAAATGTAGAATATAATGTTCACCTGCATCTTTTTTTTTGGTTAAAAAGAAATAAAAAAGTTGGTCACAAAAAAAAAAACAAGTCAAAAAGAAATCCAATCAAATTGAATAAATTCACACAATGAACATTGACTGCATGTTTTATATTGGGGCAGCTGTGGCTCAGTGATAGAGTCGGTCGTCTCCGAACTGGATGGTTAGGGGTTCCCCAGCTCCTGCAGTGTTTATGTTTTTATTTAATGTTATACTTTTGTACATTGAGAGCACAGTTCACGATTCATTGTGTGTGTAAGCATACATGGCCAATAAAGTCTGAACATTGATTCAGGTCTTTTATATACAGATATACTTGCTTACAATAGACTAAGAAGGCAAACCTATCAACAGCGTCTTTTAAAGTGACAAAAACCACAAGATGCCACTCGTTCCTGACTCAAGGCTGCTCAGAACCGATTAGTAGCTTGAGTGGCTTAAAGATCCAACCTTAAGGTCCCCGATCTGTTCTGAAATCTTTGTGGATGCCCCGATTTATTTCAAACAAGTTTGATATCTAGAATTTATAATCTTGATGATTAACTGATGAAAGGGTCTGGCAGAAGTCGTGTGTGACTATAATAACCCCGAGAGACAAGTGGACAGTAATGACAACCAGCGGCAGGACACAAGCCGCACAGGTGATCCGGTTAACTGTAATGCTTATGACAGTTAGAATCTGACCTCCAGCTCTCACTGAAGAATATACAATCCATGTTGCCCATATCTCCCTAGACAGTTCTTCACCCAAAACTAGTTTTTTTGTTGTTTTTTCCTCTCTGCACAGAGCATTATAATCACAAATGGAACGTCCGGCTCCCTTGTTTCCGTGAGGTGGTGCGTTCCTCAGTCAGGCACGATAATCTTAATGAAATCCTGTAGTCTGTGATGTGCCAAGATTTTCATATCTTTTGTGTGAGCATGTTTCAGATTATGGAAGAGAATATCTGTTAGGATTCTCATTATGTGTGTGATACTACCTGAACTCAAAATCGGGAAGGATTTTAAAACTTCTGCAGTGTGAATGTTGACCATTCCTAATGTACAGTATGCACACTTTCTGTAGAGGCAATGAAGCAGCTGGAGCAGGACATGATGAGGTGCAAAATGGGTTTTGATTAAATGTGACAAGTTGGTAGGCTCAGGAGATACTGACTTTTTTTTTCTTCAATTTACTCACTCCATATGGAAAAGGGGGTTGCAGACTATGTGTGGCAGTCATCATGCTGTTTAAAGTAGCATCACAGTCAGGTGCACTGCAGCGATTTTGCACACACTATGCAGAAAAATAAAATCTTATGGATTTAGTGTACATGCAGTGATTTTTACAGTTTCTACAATGTGGCTTAGATTCACAACCGCACCACCTGTGTTACCAACGCCCATCTTCAAATGTTTTAAGGCATGTGTCGGTGGTTTTCAAGAAGACACACGCATTCTCCCTTCAAGTTTGTTCCTATAGATCCCAACCTCTGGGTTTCAGTTGGCGTACTATACCCACCTTTTCATGTAATTTTGTGCATACCCATAATCACACATTGTGATAAATGAGAAGCCATCTGTGTTAAATGCTGTTTCTGCCAACTCGCTCCTGTCTGTATTTGGTTAAATGTTTTTAGTAGGACTTGGGGGGGAATGATCCACCCACAAAAGAATGAGGTGACAGGAGTGTATGTGGGTGGAAGCACACTTGCCTGTGCATGTGGGTATTCATCTGGCGTTTTTCTCCTGAGACTCTGGTCAAAGTATTTCAAAGGTCTGCGTAGGTAAGTTTAGTCAGGCGACTTTTACAGTTTGTAAGGGGATTAAAACTGTGAGCTGACTTGATTCTGAAGTTCATTCATCCCTTTTGACCCTGACTACCTCATCCTGGGATCTCTTTGTTAAGTGCACATTACCATAGCGTCTTTTGGGTTTGCTTTTTCCTTTGTCAACTTCATTCAAATGTCACTGCTTCATCTTTTTAAGATCACGATTTCTTATGTAGATATCCCCATGTCAGTGATACCAGCCCATTTTTTCCACTAACCCTTTTAAAAACCGACTGGTCCCCAACAAACTCCATGGTGACTCTCAAAAGCAATTTGCATATCCAGCATTACATCGAACAGCTGAAAAAAGACGCAAGTTGTAGACGTGAGCGGGTAGATGCTTCTTGGCTGCCATCCAAAAAGTAAAAAGATTGCTTATCTTGCTTTCAATGGATTCTGGAGTACTGTGAGTCATGTGATATTGACCCAGCAGTGGAAACATATCAGGGAGGACGAGGGAGAGAGGGAGTCAAAGGAACAGTGTCACAATAACCTTTGGCAGTGATCCCCTTTTCAAAAAGCAAAGTTTTCTCAAGGCTGCGTGAGTATGAGCTGATCCCATTGCATAGAGTATGCTCTTGCTATTCATGCCTTTTCATTTTCTACTTGAAAGGGGCGCAGTTATGAAGCTCCTTTGATCCCTTAGAATTGGGAGAGACTGCCATTCGTGCAGATGGAGATTGTAAGCCTTTTTGAATTCTAAAGGCATACAAAAGTTCTATCTATGTTTTTTATATAATATAGAAGGGCTCTCAGCACTGGTTCATCGCGATTAATTAAGATATGAAATTAATGCATATATTTTTTTAAATTGCATGCTATTTCGTCCCTTAAGGCGCACCTTTGATAAGCGCATGCAGCATCTCCTTGTAGTTAGTGATGGAAATGAACAACACTTTTGCAGCTTTAAATGTCTCATTTCAGTGTTAACATTTATTTTAGGCAGCTTAGTTTACGAGTCAAAAGTAATATCCATCTTAGGACATCAAACATTTCACTTTTTTAAGTGTTCCTTTTAGCTGTTTGCATTACTTTTTTGATCCGTACCATTGTTTTTGCTACTTTTAAGGATTCAATGTTATTGATTTAATGGGTGTATTTAAGTTTATTTCTTTTACAGCCAGTGAACCCCTCAACATAGAAACCCCTCTGAATAACCCTCCTGCAGGACACTTGCATACCTGGAGCAAGAGACCCAGAAATAAACCAGGCTTTAGTGCTCGCTTGTCTGCCGAGAGATGTCTCTCCCTCGGAGGAAATGAGTCTACGATACACAGGCATTGCTCAAATTCCTCTACTTGTGTCATCGCTGCTAAAGCAAATAGTGGCTTAGGGGAAAGGATTCTGCCACTGAATCAACAGATTGTTTGTGTCTTAACAAGCTCAAAGGGAACATTTTCAGAATTGTGGAAAGGTAGGAATTTGGGAGCAGTTCCCTTTAGCCTAAGCCTATTATTGTGAAACCAATGACTTGAGTTTTTAATTAGCCCCCTTTCCTAGAATAGTGCTACTTTGAAAGCTTAGTGTCTCTGCCTTTACACTTAAAGTTTTGAAGGGAGTTTGGTTTTGTTAGAGAGAGTCCTGGATTTTTGCAGCACTGCCAGCACACATGCTTTATCTGGACTGTGTATAGGAATTGTCCCACAGATGGTATTTTGCTTAGTTATTGGGGTCAATCTGTGTGTTTCTGCCAATAAATAAGCATGGAGGCTTGGACCAACAACAGCAAATCTGTCTGATTTTTGAGATTGCACACTGGATTTGAATAATTCCACCCAAGGACTTCTGGGGATGGCATGTGGGAGGAGACAGGAGGGAGAAAAAACTCTTCAAAGACCAATAGTGAATCAAACTTACGGACATTTGGCAAAGAAATATAATAAAAGTAAATTGAGACAAAAATACAATCTTGATGGGACATCATGAGATATCCAATCAATGAAAAATCTGAACAATCCGGTTGTCTGTGCGTAGAATATTTTTGTCCTTCCAGTTTGAATTACTTGTGTCTACCCTTACAATGTTTCAGACAAGAGGCCTGGGTGATACTTTGGGCCATGGAGTTTGGTGAAATAGGCCCTCTGACCCGAGGTCATTACTCTAAATTGGCTAAAAGTCCCCCCTCTCCTCATCTGTCCGTATTTCAACTCCCTCTGTGGCTACCACTCTCTTCATCTTCTCCCTATCCCCGCACACCTTGGTAATTGGTGATGTGGACCATATGTGGTGTTTGAATGAGCTTCTGTTCTGTAGAGCCATTAGACATACTCAAGGACATATCCTAACTTTATAATAGACTACCTGTACCTTCCTGGAATTGCATCAAGGTCTTTAGTTTATAGTCTCTCAGTTCTTATCCAACCGTCTCATTTCATCTTCACCTCACGCATCAAATCAGCACAGTTAGCATCTCCTGCATGTGCAAAATACTGCTCACTAAAACTTTGTGATGCGAGGGTTGTTCTGTCACTGTGTGTCATTTTCTTTAGTGACCACCTCAGACCTTATTAACAAACTGGGGGGGAGCTGGCGGTTGTGTGACCTTTCCGCAGCAGTGTCAGTGTGTTTAAATAGAGGGGAAGAGGAAAAAGACATGTTTAGAACAAGTGTGTTTTTTTTGGCAGGGTTTTGTTGTTGGGTGTTTTTTAAGCATACATTGAATCCTCTAAAGGCTCTTGGTTTCTTGGAATTTAGCGACAGTGCTAACAGTGTAGCATCGGTGTCCCCGTCATTTCCCCAAGTTGTATCATTCACCTTAACACTTGTCAGGCCCTTAGTCATGGCAATTGTAATGATTCTCAAATAACCAGATGACTAATAATTCTGTCTTTTCACAGATTTGACATGTTTCTGTGAGGATTTTGAGTCTGAATGCACGAGTAGATGCAGGCATGGTCCATTGTCATCCTACAGGTAAGATTCCTTTCTTTGTATTTTAACGTCATCAGTGACCCTTCATCCCAAGCAAGCTAATTTAAAATAAAAAATAAAATAAAAACACGCAAGAGACCTAGCAACCAAGCACCAAAGCAGCCATTTCTTGTCCTTTCCCTTTCCCCCCCGTGCCTAGTCTGGCGAGTCCAGACAAGCCTTGTGTAAAAGGTGAGAATGTTTGTTCTTCACCTCGCTACAACTGGGTCAGTGAGCAAGGTAAAGGTGTTTACCTTCAGCTCACAGCTTACAGTGCCCCGAGCTTTAAAGATCCAATTAAACTTGGAAAAAAAAAAAGAGTAACATATGTCTCTCAACCACTATTAATGTTGTGATACGTTTTGAAGTTTGGACTTTGTTTCTCAAACACACACACACACACACACACATCCTTTCTGTTCAAACCATAGACTGCATCAACAGATGGACAGCTGCTTTGCTGCTAAACTATGGAGACGTGGCAGGTGTATGATAACCTACTCAGAGACATAGAAATGTTTGATTTGTTGTGGTTTACTCTTGCAGAATGAAACAAGTCTGCCTCTAACCGGTCATTGATCCTCCCTCTCTGTGCATCTCCAGCAGCTGTGTCGACTGCTTTGTGCATGGGAACCCTTGATTACTAGCCTGACTGTACATGCGTTCTGAGTCTGGCAGTCTGCTCATTGTGCCGCCATGCCCCCCCCCCCCCCCCGACACACACTCTTCAGCACCATCGGCTTAACTTTGATCGTGAAAAGTTCTAAATGACTGCTCTTACAGCATCCAAGGCCTCAGGTGATCCACCAGGCTTTATTAGCCTAATAAGTGGTTTGAGGATGTTTATCTTTTCTACAGTGCGTCTATCTGAAGACGCCTCTGGCAGCCATTTCATTGTCCTTCATTAAACGTCATGTCTGCAGGCTATTGCTGCATGCTTTTTGCTTCATTAAAAACTTCAGCTGCAAAGGCTGGGGATGATGTGTTCATTAAATTTTATGATTTGTTGATTTTAATAATCACTTGTGTTTCTTGATGTGAGGGAGGTGTTAGGAAAACATCACTCCTTGATATAACAAGACACAGGTGTCTGTAAATGACATCACTGCGTCAGCTGGGTTATATGTTTCTCTTCAGCCAAAATATAATCAAACATGAAATACTCCCACAGCTTGATTTATGACTTGCTCAAAGTAATCCAACCCTTAATATTAAGAAAAAAGTTAACTGTTGTAACATTTGGGAGTTTTTAATTAGTATCTAAGGCAGCAGAACATTTAAACTCTCGTTTTCCAAATCTTTTTACTCATTACATGGATTCTGTGCACATTATAAGGTAAGTATTAGACGAGTGGACTATGGTCCATAGAAGGCAGTACAAGTTTAGGGCTGCATTTATCGATTATTTTGCAATCTAGTATCGATTATTCTGGCGATTAATCGGGTCATCAGATAAAAAATGTTGCATTGTGATTTCATTAAATCACTTGCTTTATTTAAAAGCAATAGTAATATACAAAAGAGAATTTGAATCGATTCAGGTTTGTTGGTCTGAGTGATTTTTTTTCAACCAATCTTACTATGAGGCTGCACTGTGCAGTGGTTAGTGCTGTCGCCTCACAGCGAGGAGGTTCCTTGTTAAAATCAGGAGCCTTTCTGTGTGGAGTTTGCATGTTCTCCTTGTGCATGCGTGAGTTATCTCCAGGTACTCTGGCTTCCTCTCACAGTCCAAAGACATGCTCAACTGTGACTCTCAATTCCCCGTAGGTGTGAATGAGAGTGTGGCTGGTTGTCTCTATATGTCAGCCCTGTGAACTGGGAAAAAGCGGTATAGAAAATGGATGGAATTTTATCAAATGTAAAGGGGGGGATGAGCTTCTGTTGCTCCAAGAAGTCAATGGACTCCAAATAGAAGAAACAGGACACAGATAGATCCTACAACCAGAAACCAGGAGAGGCCAGTATAGATGAAAGGCCCTGATCAAGCCAATATAAAGCCAACTCTGTGAATCTCCAAGTCCAAGGGACTGGTCAGATCTGGTATGAACATCTGTCCTGGTTGATCAGATTACAAGTAGACAGCTCAAAGCACAGCTGTTCACACCTGGCTATATCATGCGTCTCAAAATGCGTGGGTGTTTTAACTGCTTGTCTCCTCTCATTAACACCTTTCATTCTGTTTGCACTGCTTTAACTATGATAAACTACTGGGTGATAGCATCTTTAAGTCTCCTCCGACTCTTCCCTCTTCAGTACGGTGTCGTCCATTTAAAGAAATGAAAGGCTGTCTTCCCCAACGAGTACGGACAGTACTACATTTCCGTGCACACTCGGCTCTAATGCATAAACCATGCCTTCACATGTTGGAATTACATAAATATTTTCAGGAGACACAGAAGAGTAAAATCAGTGATGTATAGCTCTATTCAGACTGCCGTTTCAAGCCGCGATATAGGGACTCTGATGAGCTGCTCGTGGGTCACATCTCCCAAGTAAGTCTTTGACAGCATTTGGAGATGTAGTTAATGTTTTTTAAGTGGTCAGTGCTCAGAATTACAGGACAGATCGTGTCCTGTCATGGAGTGGGGGATGGAGCATTTTGTAAAGGGTACGAATATATCGTTGCTTTGACATAGACGATGGGAAATTGGATGCAAGCAGTGTTTAGCTCTGCATCAGATAACATTACATGAAATCATGTTGGATAGGTGCTGGGATGCAGCCTGGAGGGATGTTTATTCATAATAACACCAGTCTCTCTTTCCTTTTGGTCTACTTTGTCTGGTGTTGTGGATTCTTGTTGCTCCATTGTCCTGTGGGTTCCGCTGGTGGTCTGTCATGTAAACAGCTCCACTCTCCCTTTCAGACGCACCTTTTATCTCTGGTTCTGTGTCTCTTCTTCTTGTCTGTCTATCTGTCTATTTTTACCCCGTCCTCTGTCTCACACACACACACACACACACACACACACACACACACACACACACACACACACACACACACACACACACACACACACACACATATCCAAGCTCTAACCATTACAGGCACTGGATTTGTCCCAGTGCAGGGCCAATAGTGTATTGGGGTTTTTAGGTGCCAGTGGGGAAGGAAGGACCCTGCTGGCTTTGTCAGTGTCTCTGACCCCTCTGTCACAATGGGTCCCTCTTCCCTCCCACTCATTTCCCTGCCAAGCTGGGAAGAGTAAATATTTATCAGCCCCCACAACAATGGCCAGCTCAAAGGAGAAAGAGACTTTGACCAGAGCTCATGCGAGGCCTGTAGTCAGACTGGTGTCAGTCGGCCTCTAAAGATGGGTTGCGGGAAGATTAAAATGGAGCCTCTGTATTGTGGAGATTTACATTCCTGAAGTAAGTAGGTATATTGCATCACCAGAACTTCCCTGTGCTCTGAAAGAAAAGGTTTGGTAATAAACTGTAACATTTAGAAAAAAAGACTTCTTATCTATATCCTCACTGTTATGACACATTTGTATTCTGTTTGTTGTTCAAATGCCTTTAGAGCTTGTGACATTCCCATTCTCGGTTGTTCTTGGCATTGTGAAGCTCACTGTCTCCTGCTATCGGTTGACTCACTCATAACCGAACTGTTCGTGTGCTGAAGGTTTAGCCACAGAAAGCTATACCCTCTGTGGCACATCCTCTCCGTTAACAGACCGCATATTTGGCCACAGCTTAACCAGCAGCGAGACGGCGTGCGTTAATAATTGGGAACCCATTAAAAAATAAATTCTTGTAACTGGACATCTGCACCGAGCATTGCTCCAAATTTTTCAGTGAAGCAGCGGCGTGCGCTGTTTACATTCTACAGTCATGTGACACACAGACTCTGCAGCAGTTAGTTCACTCTGTGCTCTGATGAAGAGCTGCACAGAGTAACATCCAGAAGACTTTCTTGTAGATTAGTCTTAAAAAATGAGATCCTGCCGAGTTTTTGTTTTGTATCAAGCAACAACAACAAAGCAGCCTAAAGTGTAGCGGTTTATTTGCCTCACTAAAACCTGGGATATAACTATTGCACATGCGCACATCGCAACTCTAATGTTCAAACAGTATATCTAATCGATCGGCCTGATTTGTTTTAAGCGTGCGTGCATGTGTGCGTAACACTGGCTGAAAGAAAAAATACATGATATGCTACTAATAAACTAACATTAGCTCATTGTCTCAGGATTTGCAGGTTCTGTTTAAATTGTTCACTTTTAAGCAATAAGATCATTACGGTCAAATATGCTGCACCCCTTACTAGCTCCTGAGGTTACTTTATGTTTTGAGTTTTATTTTTACATGGTAAAAATGCAGCACCATTTCATCCTTTACTGATCATAACTCCTATTTACTCTCAATACAATCAGAATCCAATCTCTAAATCTAAGATCTGATTCAGAGACGATTCATTCAAATATAGAACAATTCATTCCCTATTGTTGTAATTTTATGGAACACAGAAAAAAACTATAGACTGTGTCAGGTCAAAATAATATCCTTGTAATTATTACTTTTCCAAGAGACGAGAGGATTGGCCCCACTGAACAACCCAGTGTGTTTACCACACGAAGTCTTTATCACACACTCATGCCTAGGTGTTCCACTTTGACATGTAGTTTAAAGGGAGAGGGGAATAAATGATGTTACTTACACAGAAATCTGAACTCATCTGTACATCTCACTTTGTAGACTTTAGAAAGCCCTACACTTGAAACAATGTATTTAACTACCCCAAAAAGTAAAAGGACTTAGGAAATAGAAAAAGATGATTGTAACACAGCTCCGTGTAATCGTGATTAACCATTGACATTCAGATTAAACAATGCATTATCCAACATCCCTAGTTTAAATATGATAATGAAACAAAGCCCTTTTTTTTTTTACTCCTCTCATATTGTCTCTGTGATTGTCATAATTGACTTGCACATGACGTTCAGGCATTGGTTTTGAATCTCTCTTGTCTGTCTTAGGTAAGTTTTAGCTGGATGAGGTGTG